TGTAAACAGCTTTTTCATATCTCTTTTACAGTTTTTGACAATGTATATACCCCCTATGAGTGCCCTCATAATGAGGATGAATATCTTAACAGGTTGGCATTTATTATGACATTTATCCAGGATAATGGATCTACTTGTGTGTGTGTTGTTGGAGACTTGAAAGCTGATGTTGATGACACCCGATCAGTTTTTGGAAACCATCTAATGCAGCTCTTGCCTGAAAATAGTTTCACTTAGAGCACATGTGTCAAACTCAAGGCCCACAGGCCAAATGTGGCCCGCCACGTCATTTTATGTGGCCTGCAAAAGCTTAATAGGTGCAAATATATATTAAAATAAGTATATTCTGCTTTGACCATAAACTACATCTCCCACAATGCATTTAGATTGTTATGTAATGGCATCTCTCCACTTGAAGTGGAATCGAGAAATCTCTACAGATGATCCCAAAATGTCCAAGACAAGAAAAATTGCCCACTTTCTTGGAAGGAGGCCAGTGGGTGGAGCTTTGTCACATGCATACACTGTAGTTTGCCACAACCACAACCACACTTTGAACTAGTTGTCTTCAGACGTGTGTTCATCATACAAAGTGTCAGAAATATGCCTGCCAGTGGAGAGCAGTTACTCTATGTGTGTGCGTGTGTTAGTACATACTGTCCTGTCTGTATTTTGTGTGTGTGTATTTGAAGCTGCGCAAAGCTGTAACAATTGGGGGCAAAATAGTGCAGAAGCAGTAGTGTGTGGAGTAATGCAGTTTTAAATTTTTTAGTTGCGGTATGTTGTTATACATGCTGACTAAAAACAATCTAAATCAGTGCCAAATTCAGATTAATATTTAAATTACATTTAAACCTATGAAATCACACGGCCGTTATAAGCCTTCTTTTTGTTTATTAAGTTGAACATTATCAGTGGTTTTGGAACATCTAAAAAAAAAGCTTTAAGAACTACTCTAAGTAAAAAGCCTGTGGTTTGCAGATAGACGTGCTGCTCAATAACAACAGTTACGGTTTTACAAAGGTCATCTTTGTCAGTTCTACCTTTTCTGTATGTGCCTTGAAGCTTCAAATGCCACACCAGGGAAACTGCCACTTTCATTATTCTGAGACTGTGTGAAAGTGCAGACTCAATATCATTAATGATTGTGCTTGCATTTTGTTTTTTTTTGTTGGTATTTTCATAACATGATCTATGGATGAGGATTTGTGTGAAATGGTGTCTACAGGCCTGGCCCTAACCAATTTGGCGCCCTAGGCAAGATTTCAGGTGGCGCCCTGTTGCATCGCAGTAAATTCCACTGCTAGTGTATATACTCATAAGAAACGTAATAGCTTTGTCTTGGACATTCTTTTATTTAAATAAAGCAATTGCACATTCAAGAAACAAATACAAAAAAAATGAACTGAACA